TTTTTTTTTTTTTTTTTTTTTACATTTTTGGTTAGAAAGTTCTCCGATCCATGAAGCGATCCTGAAAAGACAGTGTTTATTATAAAATTAGGCAAACGTCTGTCCCAGCTTTAAATCCTTCCTGTTTTGCTTTTGTTTTTTATATCTTTTCCTTCTCTCCCTTGTCCCCAGCAACACGGTGAGAGGATGCCCATCACATTTTCAGTTTATAAACCCCGCTGGCAGCCAATCCCACCGCACAGTGAAACAGGCTGCTGGCAGCACAGCTCAGCCCGGCTCACTGTGCCTTGGAGGCAGTAGTGGTGGTGGACGTGGCCCCGCTCGCAGAGGCCACCGTGAGGAGAGAGTTCTGGATGGACTCAGCTGAGGTGGAGGTGGCGTGAAGGCTGGCGACTGGTCCAGAGGCCCCCGCGGAGGCTGCAGCTGCAGAGACCAAGCTAACCGGGTTGCTGGTGAGCAGAGAAAGGTTCTGAGGGTTCAGGAACAGAGGGGCAGTTACGATGTTAGGAGTACCTCCAGCATTGGCAAACACCAAGTTTCCAGTTGCATCCAGTGATGTTATTGGAAGAGAGCCACCAGATGCAAGAGCTAGAAAAGGGAAAATGAGCAGTAAGCAATAATGCAAAATGTGCCTACGAAGTAACCGGTCTCTGCACTTTCCTTTCTCCAGTACGTGTGCTCTCTGCAACCCTAACAACAGTCATCTCATCACAGGTTGTGTTTTAAAAAACTTCTTTAAGAAGAGTGGACAAGACTTTGCAGATACTAAAATGTTTCTGCCATCCGCTCCTAAGCTAATTCCATCACGTCTTTCTTCAGATCTTTAAGCACAATACCGGTCTGTCTCCTGCCACAGAAAACCTGTACATTGAGGCAACCTGTACTGGAAAGTGTTGAGATGAGGGCTCACAATGGCATGACAGCTATCACAAGATGAAGAAGGTCACGTAACCTTGAGCATAACATTTTAAATGTCAATATACAACCACTGTTACAACTTACTCTACAGGGTTCAGTCTGCCTTAGGTTATCATCTCCTAAATTTAACTGTGACACTACACAATGGTTCTTTCTTGTACCCTGGAAACAAGATTTGTTAAGCTACTTTAGATGATATTTGAATATACAGGTTAGCTAGCTCTTTAGGTACTTGCACTATCTAGTTTTTACAGATGACAAACTACAAACTGAGAACAACTCTTTCTGTGTGGCACTTCCAAAGTAAATCTTTACTCCTCTTAATGAGAATTTATGGATTTAAAGTTATACATTAAGGACTTTGGAAGTAGGTTGTTTGTTGTGGGTTCTTTTTAAATACAAATGAGGACAAGAATTCAGGGTCAAGTCTTGCTCAGAACTGCTCTCCTAACAGACCTCAACACAACACAACTCTGCTCCAGCTTGTGCTAGAAGAACTATAAAAAGCAAAAGTCTAACCCACTGCAGATACATGCCAAAGAGAGAAGGATAACAAAACAAATTCCAGATCACATTCAGTATCTTTAAATGCCTTGTGTAAATCACTACCAGATCATACACAGTTCTAAACCCCACTCTGAAGTTGTACCTGCTCTTACCTCTGTGATACACAAAACGTATTTGCACATTTGAATTTTGTAAAACCTTTACTCCTAAAACATTTATGTCCGCTGCTGAGGAGTCAGTGTTCTTTTCTGGTAGGGAAAAACAAAGCTCATAAACCAAAGCTGTTTGACAGAGATGCATTAAAAGGAACGCTACTGACCTTGAATAGTTGCCAGTGTACTGTTGCTCATCAGGGCCGGGCTGAGAGCACCACCTAATGTCCCTGGATTGAGACTGAGTAAGGCACCTCTACAGGAAGCAAGATCGATGGAGAAACAAAGACAAAAAGGAGTGTTACTTTGAAGGAAAGGCTGTCACTGTTCAGAAGTACACCATCGTCTTTCCTTAAAAAGACAGGGGAGGGAGGAGGGACAGATGATGCCTTGAAGAGACATTGCCTTTCAGACGTGTGGTTAGTGACATGCCCTAAGCACAGGCACTGCAAATACACGACTTGTACTGTTTGTTGCTGTAAAATATTCTTGTATTTTGGGGAAACTGCCACTCATTAGAGAGCTATCGGCATCTCCCAAATTCAGATAAGAAAGATGTAAATGAAAAGGAATTCAAGAAACTGTCACCTCTCAGAGCAACATTTTTAAAGCTAAAACTTAATCAGTGCAGCATCACGCATCTTTTACAGCTTCTTGCTCACGACAAAGAAATGAGCACAGAGGTGGGAAGTGGGCCTAGGCTAGCTCTCCACTTTACAGTTAGCAGAACAGAACCTATGACTCAGCGGTAAGCTGCATCTCTCAAGTTAAGCTCTGCAGTGGGATGGATGACTTAGCAAATAATAACATGGCTGCAACACAGCTTTTCCATCTGTAAAATGAAAACAATATTTGTGTCCATTGATGGGAATGGCCAATGACCATCTATAAGTAAACCTTCAGAATCTGAGATAAATGACACTAGAATCACCAAGTGAGCTACAAGGAAACAGTGATACATAAAAGCAATTTATCCCTCTTCTGTCATCTCAGCTAAAAAGGTGTGAAAAATTGATCCTTACCCAGCTGCAAACTGCGAGGATGCCATCAAGCCTGGGTTTAGTCCTGCTGCAGCAGCCATGGCAGCAAGACTTGCATTTGCAGGCAACTGTGCAGCTCCTTGTAACGCGGCTGCTGCCGCTGTTTGCAACCCTGATGCCGTTACCATCACCTGGCTGGTCCCGAGAGGGGAGGACAAGGGAGTGGAGGTTGTCTGTGTTGTGCTGGTCTCACTGGCACTGGATGCCTCTGAAGCGGAGGCTGAGGCAGAAGGGGAAGGACTCAGGGAAGGTGATGTCACTGCTGAAGAAGCTGGAGGTGCTGTTGAAATCACTGTTGCCGTGTTGTTGGAGGTGGTTTCTGATGTCCCTAGAAGATTGATTCTGGTTAGATCAGTACAAAACACAGGTATGACTGAACAGAAACTACCACCCACCTGAACTGAACTGCACATCCAACTGAAAGGGAGATGAACACTTATTTCTGTAGGACCAAAAAGCACCAAGAGTCCAAATGAGAAGCTCAGACTACAGCGAAATGACACGTCCCTAGCAGTAGGCTGAAGAGCTCTAGAAGCTCACAATGGAATATAGCAAATGTCATTTCAGCATCACCTGTGATTTTATTCCCAGAAAAGTCAACTGAATGATCACCACAAGTGCCCTGGGATACCAGTGACCAATACTGAATGAACTTCTGAAGAGCCTGAAAGGGTGAAATGGTAGAGGTTAATGCGGGGACAAGAGAGATCAGCCCTTACCTGTGACTGACAGACTAGTTACAGCAGGACTGGTCAGAGGGAGCACAGGATTGACAGTCAGGGTTGTAGCTGCACTGCTAGTCACAAGGCTTGGCGTGGTTGCCACCTGGAGGTCGAAAAAGAATACAACTGCTCAACCATTAAAGACAGAAAGAGTTAACAACTAGAATCAGATTTCCTTCTTCCCATCCTCAGCCGAGGAAGTTATCACTGCATCCCATTACTTTATCATTTAGTGGACCAACCATAGCACTTTCTCTAATTACCAGCAATATCTATGCTTTATCATTCAGGATTTGAAGGGAGATAAATCCATTACACCTGGAATGCCTGAGGACTGCAAGTTAGCCCTCCCTCTCTTTCTGTCCCCTCTCAAAGACAGCTCCATGTTGTAACAGAGTCACTCTCCTAGAAAGAGTTACAGAATATATTATTTCTGCGTGGGTTTTTTCCTTGTTTAAACATCTTTTCAGCTCCAAATCCCTTTCTCTGATAAAATTACTTAAATGCCCCAGCATTAGCAAAGCTATTTAGGGTCATGTTTTCACATGGGTAAGCAGAGTAATATTTCACTTTTACTCAACCAAGCTATAAGCTCTACTTCAACAAGTTTCCTTGTGCCAGAGGAAGGATCTCTGAATTTTAGAACATACAAATGACATTAGTTGATTTTACTTGTGGACAGATTACAAGAAATCTACAATAAACTGAAGACACTACAGATTAAAAAAAAAACAAAACACCAAAGATTCAAAGCTGGAGGAACTAGCTTAGGAGGAAAAATGAAATATAAGGAGAGAAAGTGCTTTTTCTGGACAAGAAATGGTGTCCAACATCAATATTTGAAGGCTGTTACACATCAATGAGAGAAATGAATCCTTTAGAATTGCCCAAGAGAACATGGCCAAGGATTTAGGCTGAAGCCTTCCTCCTTTCCCCTCTCTTACCTGAAGTTTATTATCAGAGAAATCTCTCATGCTGCATATCCTTATAGGAAGTCAAATGCTTCATACATTTTAAACAAGACTGGGCCAACTGGGACAGATCTAAAAGCTTTCTGCCCATCTCAAATAGTGTACGAAATAAAAAAGAGCTAGATACATAGTACACTTCCCACTAATGCAGCCCAGGCATCGTATCTGTCATCAGCCCACTGAACAGTTAAGACCAAGGTCACAGTCCATATTTCAGGGCAGTGAATGACCTAGAATTAATACAGCTAACCCCATGGTTACAATGACTGACTTCAGCCAATGCAAAAGTGAGCTGCCATCAAAAGGAGCGCTCCCCTCCAATCCTGCTTCAGAGCCCTAGCACGGGTGCAGCCAAGTTACTAGTCAGATTGGTTATCTAGTCATACTGAAAATTCATCACATGGTTAATTTGCAGTCAAACTAGTAAACTAAGCCAAATCATCCTACAGACACATAATCTCCAGAGCTGACACAGGAATCAACAAAGCACACAGCCAGTGAACGCTGGGGGCAGCAGGACTAGGACATCCATCTGAGTGGTAGCAGTGTCTTAAGAGAAGCTTACAATAAATGAAAATGCTTAGTGGAACATCACTGAAAAAACTGAGACTCTGGTCAACACCTCAATTTCTTGCATACAATGGCAGTTTATAAGAAAAGGGAAATTTATGTAGCAAAGCTTTCTCAAGTTGCAGTCTGAGTAAACGTGCATGCTTACTAAACCAGACTATCATAAACCTCATGATGTTCTGCTTTGGTAGCAAGGCATGCAACCTTGCTTACCCACTGGGGATAAAAAGCAAAATAAATAAAAAGGCTAAGAGCATGTAACACGTCCCTTCCCCTGAAACAAAAGGTTGCATGCACACATCCTGAGACAAGGATGAGGGGAAAGAAAGACACATCACCAAAATTAATGGTTTAATGAAGCACTGGAAGATATTAGCTACTACAGTGATGAGGGTGGAATAAATACTACAAAAGGACAGCTATAGGCTACATAAATTCCACCACATTCCTATTAGCATAGCTACTATGAAATCTAATAGCTACTGTTTCTATTTATGAAAACAGACCTCCATGGACATTGGTAGCAAAGGAGCTGAAGGAACCTTGATGCATGTGTTTTGTTACTCTTATTTTCAGGAAGTTTGTGTTTACCTGAGGCAAATACAAGTGTGGGAAATTAATTACATGAGTATTAGCTAAATTGTTCCTTTGTTCCACGTCTTTTTTTATACAAATCATTCCTGACTAAAAGTGACAACAGTATCATTGGATTTGTGTGACTTAAGTCTCCAAACAACACGTTTTACTGCTGCTCACCTACTTATCAGAGCAGCCAAAATAAGAGGGAAGGGGTAGATCTGTTGAGCATTTTTTATCACCAGTATTCTACAAAAGAAGTTTGGGCAAGAGAGAACATCCAGATACAAACGGGAGTTACTATCTGGTATATGTTCAAAACAATAACCCCAAATGCCAATTTGCTAGACAGAATATTTACTCACAAGCTGACTAAATTAAACACTGAAGGCCCAACTAGTGCCTGATTTGTAAGCATTATCTCTCTCAGTAAGCAAGCAGGATGTTTAAAATGCCAGTAAAGTATACATTTGTGAGAACAAATCTGGTGTACACAGAAGGTGTAGCATGTGCAGCTCCCACAGTGAGCACAGTAGAACTCTCCCTTCCAGTGATCTTTGTCAGCACAGTTTCTTGATTCTTACCAGTGAGGTTGGGCAAGGGAAAATTGCTTTGATGGGCGAGCTGCTGGTTCCACCACTGCTGGGTGGGTTGATCCTTTTCTCCTTCTGGCGCCGGTTACAGAACCAAACGCGGATCACCTCCTTCTCCATGTTTAGCTGGTCAGCTATCATGGTGATCTCATCCGAGGTAGGCTTTTGGTTCTGAGAAAAGGGAACAGTACTTGAAAAGCTGTGAAATTACATTCTGACGTTTTACATTAAATAGCTACTTCTTCACTAGGCAGAACTGTAGATGGGTCATTTATATCCAGAATCTGGTCAGTGGTAGAGATGGACAGTAACAGATACTTCTGCCCTCCATCTTCCTAGTTACAGGAACATCTCTACCAATAGGAAGCTGTGTTCCTCACAGATGGGTGATGAAGACTAAGCTCACATGCTTGTTTTTGAGAGAAGAGATCTAACTCGTGAACTAATCCTTCAATGAATTTTAGACCTTGACAAGGAAACCTTTCTTTCAGCATCTCTTAAAAAGGAATAGGAGAGATTACCTACAGCAATAGCCAAATGAACCCCAAGTTGTCTAGACCTACAACGAAAGACAGGTAGATTGAATGGGCTACTTATAGAGGTTATCTGTCCATATAGCTGCACAAAGTGACTAACAAGAGTAACATAAGGCCGGCTAAAAACCTCTCATTATGTATGCTGGGACTGTCACCCCATTTATCCATCCCCAGAAAGGGTAATCTGTTTTTCTCCTTTTTGACGTGCAGAATTTCAGTCTTAGATCTATGGCTCAGCATCTTGGAATGCGAAATCACAAAGTCAGCAAACTGGTAGAACTAATTAGGTGTTTTGAGAGGTTTTGTGTTCTTTGGTTGGTTTTCTTTTAAAGTGAATTAGACACTGATGTGTGCTTCTTGGCACATCCTTTGTATCCACCTTGTTTAGTACAAGCACTTTTCTAAATAGCACAGTAATGGGCTCACTCTAATAGATATGATTGTTAAGCAAAGTTTCTTCATTTCTTTATAGGCTGAGCAGTGCAACAGGATCACCGACCTCCAGGAAACTCTTCTCTAAGGCCACACGTATGTTGGTCTCTATGCTGGTGCGTTTCTTCCTCCTACGGTTCAAGCCTTCACTCCCCAGCCCTGGAGAATTCAGGGCACTTGGGCTGGAGAGAGTTGAATCAGATGAGAGGTTTTCTGAAAAACAAAGTAATGTAAATCAGGAGATTTTATTTTATGCAGTGCAGTCTAATACGAGTGCTCTTCACCTGTGCAAGGTGTGTTAAAACCCACCCTGTACCTATCCCAGATACATAGAAATTTCTGAAGATCACAGGCATTAATCATCCTACTTGGAAATTACGACACATACTTAAAACTTGAAAGGTATGAGTAAGCCCAGAGGGGGCACTCTGCTCCTGTACGTACCAGTGTCCCTTTTGTAGCACCTATACAAAGTTCGTCTCTCTTACCTCACCCCACACTCATTCACTGCAAGTCATTGTTTAACAAAAAGAAAGCAGAAGCTGACACCCATGAGCTGCAGCAGTCAGCCACAGGCAACAGGAAAAAATCTGAGCAGCCTGAAATTTCTTCTGCCCACTCTGCAACACGCTAGAGGAAAAGGAAGTTCATACCCAGCTTCACAGTGTACAACCTCTTCTCTCTGGAGATGTTAGCAGATACTCAGTGCCATGCAATTCTACTGAACGGCCTACGCAGCTAGCAGCTCCTCTTCCTTAGCTACACCAGGTCTGTAGCTGTCAACCCCTAAACCTAGCTTTTTGGCTCCACAGAAGAGCAAAGAGAGGACACATCTGACCCTACTTTTTAGCAGTTAGTGCAAAATAACCAACAGGTAGGTAGAAAATTATTAATTATGACTGGAGATCCCTCACTGCACTGGCATCTGTGGGTGATAAGCAGGTGTCAAAGTTCATAATGCCTAAGACCGTTCTTGTAGGGTTAAATGGGCAAGTACATTCAGCTCATTACTTTCTAGATTTTTAATTTCTTTTTCCAGTATTATCCATAAACATGCTGAAAGCTCTCTCCACGCTGAAAACCCCACACAACAAAGTTCTATAACAATAAATTCCAATGTAATGTATTAGGAAGGATGACTGGTATGCTCCTCCTGCCTACTTTTAGTAGGCTTTAAAGTCATCTTAATGTTTTTCGCAAAGATTTTCATGAAGCTGAATCAGTGCCAAAGACAATGGTTCCCAGCTTCCAGGCTGTGGAGGACCCTGACACTATTTACAGTCCTTAACATAAATTTACAGATCTGAAGATTTCTTCTAGCAACTCATCCAGGGTTGCTGGAAGGTTTTGGGACTGCTGTCCTGTGGACTGGAGCACATGTGAAGCTCTTCATGTTTTCTGTCAGAGATCTAGATTGCCTAAAGGTAACTCCTGCCAACACAACAGAACGACTCTCCCTTGTTTCAATGCAGGACAAACTTTCAACACTGCATGCAATTACTTTCAAAATTTCAGAGAGCACTGTAGGCACCAGCATAAAGCTCTCTTCACTTTGGTAAAAATAGGAGGGCACACACCATCCCTGCCATCTGTTCAGCAGATCCACCAGTTTTATACTATACATACTTGGAAGAAAAATCTGGCTGACAGCACTCTTAAGCACTTTCTATCCTAACACCTAGCACCACCACCCAAGCTCCTTTTGCTGGTGGGAGAAAAAAATAGAAAACAAAAGAACACTGCCAACATTGGCATCATTAATAACTTACATCCCAGGAAAAAATAATCCTGGAACTAAAAAGCAAAACCTAACCCACAAAAAACTCTTCTATGGGGAGGAAGAGGGTGCTTTGAAGAACCCTTGGAGAGAGCTTAAAAGAACACACATAGTGGTGTAGGAGGAGATGAATGCAATAAGATCTGCCTACTGAAACAACAGACCATGCAACCCTCCCTCTACTACACATCTGAAAAAGAAAGCTGGAAGAGGATTAGAAGTTATATGCATTAACACACATGAAGGAGGAAACCCATGACATATTATACCTCACCCCATGCAATTACTCAGCTGGCTGCAGAACACAATTCTGGAAGTTCATATTGGAATGGTTTTGGATGAGGACAGGCACATGAAAAGGGAAGTATGGACCCTTATTCCTACACCTTTATTTGTCCCATAGACAATTACAAAGATTGGTGGCTTCATAAAACCATAAGGGCACAAAAGAAGCAGGTTTTCAGGGTTTTTTAGAATCCTACTGATTTTGGTAGGCTGGTGAAGAAATACACAGACTCATTCACCTGCATCATTGAGCCACTTTTCCAGAAGTGGCTTTAACTTGCACATGTTCTTAAAGCTGAGGTTCAAGGCTTCAAAGCGAGAGATGGTAGTTTGGCTGAAGTCATTTCCATAGAGTTTGCCCATAGCGAGCCCAACATCACCCTGGACAAAGAAAGAGAAAAAAAGGGATTCACTAACATAGGCACTTCCAAAGCAAGGAATCCTTTCACATTCTTGAGTTCTCCTAGTGACTCCACAGCTGCACGGGATTTCAGTTTCACAGAAACTTGCTCAGTGCTACCAAGATTCATGCTAAAGCAAATAATCATAAAGAAATGTCAAGCTTCAGTCAGTGTAACCATGTAACTCTTTCCAGGAAATCCCTGATGCTTTGTCTTCTGAGTGTTATCACTGAGTAGAACATTCCACAGAATATTAACGTGTAAAGTTTTTCTTAGTTGTTTAAAGTAAGTGAATGCCAAGCTCTCTTCAGGAGCAGATTTAAGTATCTACATATTTCACACTGAAGAAGAAAAGTTCAAATAAGCAGAAATGAAGTGAATTCATGTTCTCAAATTACAGAAAACACTCCTGAGAAGATGTCTGCAAACATACATCACATTTAAAGAGATGCAAAAATATTCTTATCTGAACTTTTAGTATCTTCTGAGGTTCAAACCAAACTTCTCCTCCCAGATACACATTTCAAAGCGGACAAGAAGTTGATCCATTTCAAATAATGACTAACTGTAGTCTTCACTATCACTACCCATCTGTCAAAAAACTATCCAGGAGATTTACAGATGATCATCTCTTCAAATCTGTTACTGCTCTTCAAAACTCAGTTTTAGCTAGCTATCAGACATTCTGCTTATCCTAATGTATACATACACACATCTGTGTAGCTTACACTTGGAAAATGTTGTTTAAAAAAACCCCAATCTATTCTTGATTGTGGCCATTAAAAACACCATCACGTTTTCTTGTTCTGCTTTAAAGCTGTAAGGCTCTGCCCTTTGAAAAAAAAAATAATTATTTAAGTATGGTATTTGGCCTAAAGTAGTTTAATTTAAATTTTTATTTTTTAACACAAAAAAGCATGAAAATTCTAAAAGAAGAGACTGAAAAGCTTGAGCATAGTTAGTGGAGTTTAATTGCAAATGGGTTAGTTGGATTGTGCGTAAAGCTTGCTTTCTTTCCTTCTAGGTCAGATCCACAACCACAGATTGATACAAGTATACTAACAGCATGCAGAGTGGCCACATACAAGCAAGGAAGAAAACAGCCTTTGGTAAACCTTAGTAAATTGTGCAGGTTGTGTAAAGAAAATAATTTCCTTCTAGAAGAGGAGCAGAGCAATTGGTTTGTATGCCCTTCAATCACAGGAAACACGTGGGAAATCACATTTATACCTCTACCCATATGCCAAGATTCTGTGCATTTTAAAACTCATAAATCATTCCAAGAGAAGTAACACGTATGCTCTACTGGGTTTATGAAGAAGAAAACCTGGCTATGTAAACCATTTTAGAGATAAGTTGATTTATGTCTTGGCAGGAAAGAGTTATGAAATTTGCTCCAGTCCCCCAACTAAATTTAATTCTGGTATTTATGTTGTTCTTACTAACATTTGCTGTCTGATTTAAAATGAATAGTTAACCATTTCTTTGCCAACAGTTTTCAGTGCCAAAAGGTGGCAGCATTTCAGCTGTAAGCAAAGGAATTTATATACTGGGGTGAGAATTTTATAAATTGGGGTGGGCCACTGAAAGGCTGCACGGAACAGAGGACGAAGGCACTGTATCCATACCCGATCTACTCTGTAGGTCGAATGAAGCTTTGGTACTGAACTGGAACTGATTATAAGGTACATTATTGTTGCATATTCTGGTCTGTTAAGAAGCTCAGACAGACTAGCAGAGGTAATAATACCTTTAAAGGAACAAAACTAACATCGTCTAAAATGTTTACTCACACAGCTTGAATCTGTACTGACCAATTAGTCACATACCTGCAATAATGCTAAGATGCAGCATGCTCATTGTGTCTCTACGTCAAACATGGAGATATTTTTAAAGAAAGCAATTAAACAAAAGGATTTAAATCCATCACCCACTTTTCAGAGTGGGAGAAGAGACAGAACTGCTGAAATTCAAAACCTGTTACATTGTTCACAAGACAGAATGTAGTAAGTGATTAGTTTGCAATGCAAACTAAATCTCACAATTATTTTTGAAAGGCAGGGGTGGCGTGAGTCTGAGAAAGCTTACAGTACCACTGGAAATACATTTCTTTTATCCTCTGAAAGGCAGTCTATTTATTCAGCTATAGGAAACCAAAGTAATAGGGGTCTCTAATTATCATCCAATTATGCAATTAGGTGGAAGTTATTTGAACTGCCTAATTATACACATACAAACTCAGAGCAGGATAGGAATGCGCAAATGCAATTTTATCACTTTCTCAAGATTCTGTTCTTTTAAGCTCAAAGCACATACGGAAATGTAAGCCTGAGCAGTTGTGTTCATTTTTCCTCACCATGAAAATTCATAACAGGGTCAATAAAGTAGGGTTAACCCATAATTTAAAAGTCTAGTTGAACCTTTATAATCATCTCACAGCAGGGCAGATTAAACATAATAACTAAAGATCTACATGAACCTCCTCAGTCAGGCGACAGGGAAGCTATTGTATTTTACTCTATTCTGCTCTGCTCTATTCTAGCCTTTGTATGTGTCCATCCCTTGTATTTCTGTGCCTCCCTCTAGTGGAAAGAAGGGAGGGAAGGAGGCACACATGCCAGCAAAATCCACTTCATTTTATTAAGAACATTCTGTTCTTGAGTTATAATTAAGATGCTACCAGGAACTTTCATTATGAATCCCGATTCTCCAAACATTTCGGACTTTGCCAGAAAAATAAATCTTACTTCAGCACATACTTTCAGCTACAGTAGTCTTACTTATTCTGGAGGGAGAACAAATCACATATGTTGGATTGACTGCTCTGAGCTAAGACTTTTAAATACCTACTTTGATTTTCGCAAGCTATTTCTTCTAGCAAACACACGCCTACGCTTACCACAAACTCCTGCCAAAATTAATTGTTTACCTGGACAGATATCTTAATTTTTCAGGGGGAAAAAAATAATTTCGATATTAATAAGAAAGGACTCCTGGATCCAAGCAGCATTTCCCTTCAACAGAATAACAGAAGATATAAATGCACTTTGTACTTTTAATTGTACTTCTCATTCAACCATTTTCACCGCATTCAAGATTACTTTTCTCCCGCTCCGAGGATATTTCTGAGCTTTTAAACAAACCGAAACAAACCCCAACTCCAGTTCACCTCTGTAACAAAAGAACTTCAAAGGTGACACTCCTTTCAGGTTTTGTTTAGGAACCTTTGCAAAAGCCTTAAATACAGAGATCATTGATATTTAATAGAAAAATGAGCTTGAGAGATAAAAACCCTTTGACATCCAAAGCAACTGCACAGTTGTGATACACGTTTTAAACACGCAGAGCAGTTAATTGTGCCGTATGATTTCTGGAACTTTGTACTTCTGAAGACAGCTTTAAAGTGCTTTGTCCCATTCATTTTACATCCTATAGAATGAATAGTGCACATGCAATGACATCTGGCACTGGTAAATGCACGTACCTGCTGGGAAAATGGCTATGCTTTAAAACCAACAGAGAAGTAAGATGGATGTATGGCTTTTTCTGTTATTTCTTAGAAATCCCCTACACAAAGGCCAGAGCATAACCCTATTTAAGAAGGTTCTCCTAGGAAAAGGTGGAAATGTAGTCTCCCCTCCAGACTTGAAAGATGAGACCTCAGATTCCACACTGGCAGGCACTAAGTTACACAGTCTCACCTGAGTGAATCCAAGTTTGATCCGTCTTTGTTTGAAAGTCTTGGCAAACTGCTCAAGCTCCTCAAGGTCACTGGGCTCCTCCAAGCTGGGAGTGTCAATTCGCTTTGGTGTTGACTGGCTCTGTGGAAGTGGCTGAATGGGGGTCGCTGCTATTGTGCGTGTTGGGGTTGCTGGCTATTAAGATAGCAAGGAAAAGATGAAAATCAGACTTAAAAGAGTCATCAGCAAAAATTAAATTCAAAAAAAGACAAGTGAGATTTCTGTGAGAAAGATCAATGAATGTGACATTTCCAGCAATCTGAAAGTTCCTGCAGTTTATTTACATTCCTCTCAAGAGTGAGCAATCACAATCCAGAAAACTGTATTAGTATGACAGCCTTTTAAGGGCTCTGTCAGCACCAATTAAAGAAAAGTAAGAGATGTTCAATGCAGCAGATAACCAACAACTTTCGCTTGCTGCACAAGCTGCTCAAAAGAAGGCTGAATACTCTTACTTGATATAGTTCTATCATTTATAGACAGCTTGCCATTCATCCCCTTTTCATCATTTAAAAATTGAATTTACTGCTTGTGTGAGGTGGCAGATTGTCATCAGCCCAAAAGATTCAAGTCTCCTATTTAGTCTTGGAACAGTGAGTACATACAGGTGCAGCAAAGATGGCAAGTTTCCTCGAATGCCATCTCTTGTGACTGACTCATCTCTTCCAGCAAGAAAAAAACTACGTCTACCTCTAACCCTTCTGCGGATACTTGCAACAGTAAGGATGAATGTACTGGTGATACAAGAAAGTAAGTAAAGGTAACCTGCATAAAATAATTCCTTTTAGGTCACATTTTACTTCTATATAAAAGGCTAATTTTCCATGAAGTCCGCATGAGGTTCACTATTCCTGAACATGGGCAGACCAGGGCATTTTACTATGCAACAATAAAAAGAATCTGAAAAAAAATGAGCCTAACAGAAAATACTCACAGGTGGACAAAATAAATCAAGATGTGATTTTGCACAGTTCAGGCTTTATGTGCAACAGGAACATCGGAAACGCTTTTTGAGTGCATAACTCTACCTTCTTACATGCCATAGAGGAACCGAGATGCAGAGGCAAATCATTTAGTTAAATTTTACTCAGTTCAACTGTGGCTCTTAAGTAAAGGTGACTTCATGCTTTTATGTCCTATGCCCAGTTCTGAAACTACAGACTCCTTCAGGGCAAATAAGAACAGCCTCAAGTCTACACAACATTACAGTACTACGCAAAGTCAGTGGAAGGGTCCAGAAATGGCTGTTCTAAAAGAAATGGCCTACATATAGCTAAGTCTTTACATAGCTCCTTATGTTGATTTTCTTCTGGGTTAGCACAGTGTTTTGCCGTGCACAGCAGATGGTAGAGGGAGGTCAGGATCTATAATTCCATTTCTCGAGAAATAATGTGATCATATATGATCTTTCTAGGATTGCAGATATATGTGTCACACTATAAAGGTTTTTAATATTTTTTAATTTACATTAAACATAGTGGGTAATTACTGCAATATGTCTTCACTGACTTCACACCCTTTGACAATTTATTTTCTTGTTGCAGTTTTGATATATTTTTTTTTAATCCAAGTGTAATCTTTAGTAGGGAGTCATGCTGCTAACTGAGGTATGAACTACAGAGGTGAGACAAATTCCATTTTCCACATGGTGCATGAAAAATACTATAGGTAGTATAATAGAAAATGTAGTTTTCTAAGACTTTGGTAGACTCAGGCACCTTATTACAGACTAAAAAATTCTTATATGAAACCAAGTTGGCAGGAAAATACCGTACAGTATTACATGGTATTTGCAAAACAGCATGCAGTCATGTAACTAAACTGCACAGTAAAACCCAGAGTGAAGCAAAACTGAATTTGCAGGCACATGCAACCTTAAAATTGCTTTTCTTACAGTCTGAAAGCTTAATCATAGAACTTTAATATTTTAACATTAAAATCTAACAGAATATTTTAATATATTTTTAACAATCTCCTCACTTTCACAGAAAGTAACTAGTAAGACTGGCAATAACTTAGCAATAATACCAAAACAACTGGGCTACAATAAAGATAGACTACCACTGAAATTTCTAGAAAGATACTTGTCAGCAATCCTCTTTATCGGCTTTTTAGGTAGCCCATTCCTTGCTCTTCTGCATTTCACAAATTTGTAGATGGTCCAAAAAAGTCTTACAAGAAATCAAATGATGCTCTACAGCCATTAACTCAAGATATCAATCATGGAAATTTTTAGCTAAAAGTCAAAACTAAGAACCTTAAATGCATGAAAAGAGGCACATCAGGGTGGAAACGACAAAAAAAGACACACAAAAGTGTTACTGATATTTAGTTCAACACTGAATCTATCTAGCAAGACAAACTCACTATTACAGCTGCAATACCTACTCTGATAAATATTATAAAGGGTCCATTCACTTGCAACAGTTAAATCCCCTCAAAGCACCTCATAAACAGTAGAAACAAGCCTGACCTGCGAGGCAAGGGTGATGCTTGGCTGAGACTGCAGGAGGTTGGCTTGGCTTTGCTGAGGTAGTTGCGTTAAGAGATTCTGCGCTTGCAGGAGACCTGGAAAAAGAAAAGGGTGGGTTTGGTTCGTCATTTCAGAAAACTAAAACATGCAATGAGATAAAACAAGGCTCCTGCCAAATAATGAAAGTTACAAAATTTGAGATGCAAGCCTTCATTTCATCCCTGCACAGGTATCTAAAGACTTTGGACTTTTCTGTCCGAAATCCCTTTGTATTTGCGGAAGGGTAAAAAAGAGAAGTCTGCATCAGTCTCTCCTGCAGAAAGAGTCTGCAATGATCTAGGTTATCCCAGTTCTGTGTTCGGGAATCATTTATTTTCAGCTTGCAGACTTGGAGTAAACCTCTTCCTGTAACCAACAGTTGACCAAGAATTTGGGAGCCATATAAAAATAAACAACTGAACACTAACCAGATCAAATCCAACAACCAAATACTAATCAAAACCACAAATTTGGCTCCTTGATCACCCTTCTTCCTCTCCGTATCGCTCCATGCAAGCTGCCTAACAAGATGGCAACTTTCTCTGGCAAACCTAAGCAGACCATGCCAGAAGACCACATAAGCCCAGGTAACCACTTCCTGGCTAAAATAAAGAAGGAATCTTTTGGAAATGTGATCAGAACTTAAAGCTTAGGTAAGATACTGAACACTGCTTAAACTGCACAAATAGCGTAAACATTACACTGAATGTATGAAAACCTGTGCTATTATGGAAAGGTGAGAACATTAAAGAACAGTTGGGAATGATGCAACCAATACACACAATATGGTGTCGCTCTAAAAATAAATTCTCTTACAGTCCATTATTTGTATGTTTTATTAAATCTCTCAGGAAATTGAGCTATAAGCTTGCATCTATACATTTTAATTAGAAGCTATCTGATTTTTTTCATTTCCAAAATGAGAATATATATATATTTAAGGTGTAAGAATCTTGACAAAAATATACCTAGTTAGTCAATTCCCTCAATTTTATTGTTAACAATATTACTGCTATTCTTTAGGTAACTCCTGGCTATGACTATCAATTTCCCCTTATTAATTTAAGAACCTGACTAATTAAGCCTATGCTTAGTAGACATCTTCAATATACCAAGTTCCTAAACCCAGGAGAGAACGATGGCACAAGAACAACAGATGGACACTATGGCCACTCAGAGGAGAGAACACCAACTAAGTTCCACTTCTGTAATTCTGAATTTGACATGGGCTTTTCTGGCTTATCAGCTGGCTGATCAATCAGAGCACACCACTCACAACCAGCTACCTCTCAGCAGAACACAGGTAGGAGACATAGGTATTTAGGATTTCATAAATACTGAGTGAGAAACTGGATGCTTTATGCAAGGTTAAGGCCATAGGAGACAAGTAAAGAGGGACTACCACGGGTAGGAAGAAGAAAATGTATCCTCCATGAGGGATACACAACTACAGAATTGTCTTCTGACAGAAATATTACTATTACCTTTTTCTAACAAAGTGTTAAATATGTATTTTAAATAGAATGCATTGCTATCAAATGTCAAGACCCACAGAATAAAGCCAGCTGCTCATGCAACATAATAGCACAGTATAGACAACTATGTAAATTTGCTTTGCACCACATAATCAACACGTTCCAGCTGTGTTTTTGAAAAGCTGCAGCGAGGGAGGGGAGCAGCTTAAGGAACTTTGAAGACAGCTCCTTACTACACAATGCTTTTTACACACAAATATTTGTTCACTTGAAAGATGATTTCAGCTGCCCAAATCTAAATATTAATTAGCGAACAATCACCCCCAAGTGAAGAGGTTTTGACCTTCATTTAGTGACAGTGAATTTTAACTGACAACTTGAACTAGAAAGGGGCAAGCCACCACACTGATACTGTAGAGCGGCCAACCAACAATAAAACAAAAAACAGGCAGCTGACAGTGACCACATTTGACCTCCAGTGCACCAATAACACCAGAGATCACAAGTTACTGACTCGGCTTTATGACTGTAACCAGAGTCATTAGGACTGTCCTTTTGTCCCAGAGGATATTCTTCTGGCAATGACACTTTTGCTGGAGAGCACAAGATGACTTCATTTTTCCTTATTTTATTCTCGCTCTGAAATAATTAGCACTGAGGGGCAGTATAAAATATTCTGAACGTGTTTAATCTACTCAGTTTTTACATCCATTTATCCTATTTAAGAGACACTGATACAAGGTGTCTCGGGCAAAAACTGAAGAACAAGTTAAGTCAACCTGCAGCTGGCTGAAGTAATGATCAGGGCATGGGGAGCTGAACTGTTTCAGCAAAGCATGCATCTCTTCCACTGGTTTACAATCTTCCCAGGCAGTTTTCATGCACACGCTTTGGACTCTTGCAGTCTTCCATGCAGTTCTGGTCTTTGCAAACATGACTTGTCTAACCTTCACCTTCGGGGTGTTTTCTTCTGAGAAGAGACCACTGGTCCTCACTTCCATCCAAGAAAACTTCAGTGACTTAACTTACAGGGCACATAGCACAGCCTTTTAAATACAGTTTAAGTCCAAAACTGCACCTTTTAGGCAGCTGCTGAGATACTGGTGTATTGAACTTTGCTGTTTCCTTAGGGACTTCACGCTGGCATCAATATTGTTTAACAGTATTGATGATAATAATTAATGGATATTAATATAACAGATACTAATATCTTTATTACCAATAAGGCTGATGGGACAAAATATACTCTCAGCAAGTTTGTGGACAACACCAAATACAGGGAAAACAGTCAATAAGCCAGAAGTCAGGGTCTAGAGAACCTATACAAATGGAAGCTCATGAAGATCAGTGCAGGAAAACGCAACATCCTGGATAGGGCTGGAATAACCCTGTATGGCAAAACAGGGTGGGCACTAGGTGGCTAGAGAGCAGTTTCACAGGAAATAGACCTTGGTGTCCTGGAGGTCAGTAAGATGAGCAGGAGCCAGCAGTGTGTCCTTACAATAAGGACAGCCAACAACCATGTCCTGGGCTCTATTCACAAGAGTGCAGCCAGCAGGTCAGGGGTTGTGATTCTCGCCCTCCATTTGGCACTAGCAAGACCGTATCTAGAGTATTGTGTTCAGCATTTGGCTTCCCTGTACAAGAAACAATGATATCCTGGATTTCGTACATTCAAGGCCCACAAGGGTGGCTAACAGGCTGGAACACCCATATGAGGAATCGGTAAGTGAGCTGGGTTGTACAGCCTTGTGAGAAAAATAAGGTTAGATCCTATTTGTGTCCTCAGAGACAGAAATGGACTCTTTTTGGTGGTGCACAGTAATGACATGCAAGAGACAAGTTGGAACACGGAGAACTCCAAGTAGACATAAGGAAACCTTTCTGGTTTTTTTTAATCATGAGAGTGGTCAACTATTGGGGCAGATATTTGAAGAGGCTGCAGAATCTCCATACTTGGTGATGTTCAAAGTCAACTGGCCAAGGTCCTGAGCACTCTGCTGTGATTGGACCTGTTTTAAGAAATACTACATGACCTCTAGAGGTTCCTTCCAACCTATGTAATGTCTACAAGTAGCATGAGTACTTTTTGGTCCAAGGTAAAAAACTCTTCCTGCTAGCCAACTGTCCCCAAGGACTAATCTGGAGTTTAGTTCTTACTAAAATTAAACAAAAGATAAAACAAACATTCAAATTCAGATTTTTTCTAGCATAATTTTTAAACAGTTGGCCCAGAAGCACAATACATAATTCATTCCTATCCGATCTCCCGAAAGAGTGACTTTTTTTTTCATCTAAGAACTTGACTGCTTTTTCTCTGCCAAAGCTGTTCATCTTCTCACAGACATATCCTGGAAGTTAGCTTGCAAGATAAAGCCGTTAAAATGTCATAATTTGATTAACTGGAAACAACTGAAAGGGAAGAAGGAAGAGTGTCACACCGCATATTACATACAGTGCTATTTGTATCAACTTTGTTGATCACTGTTGATGCAAAGAACCTTCTGGGCTCTTTGGTGTATTTAATTTTATCAAATCCAGATCTTCCAAAACAGGGACTCGTAGCTGGAATTGCACCGGGATCCAACTCAAGAGACAAAGTACTAACCTATCCATTCCTACAAATCTGTTCCACTGAGATGTTAAGCTGCTGCACGCTGCTGCACCTTTTGCTGCATCCAGGTACCCGTTAAGATCAGCTCAGGAACATGATGCAAATGTGCTCAAGCTGCTGTGGTTGTGCAGAGTATCATTTCAGTGATCCATGCAAAGGTGCTGCCACACTACTTCAATGAAAAGTCAGCATTTTTACCCATTGATGTTGTTCAGATGGTTAGAAGCAAAGACTTGATTTCAAAGAGGACAGGAAATACGAGAGGATTTAATTTAGATCTTGGTAACAGGTATTTGTAGCACATGGGGAAAAGTCAACATTTAAATCACTTCTCCCAAGTTGCCCCTTATTCCACTGCAAGCTCTCCCCTCTTATGTGCGGAGTCAGCTACATTTTATTCCACTGTTGTGTCAGCAAATATGCTGTCATCAGGAGTCTCTTAATGACAATGAAATGCTGGGTCTCCTCATCTACATATTGAGGAGACCAAAGCACTTTCACCTGGTTCACAAAGCATATTATCGACAAAAGGAGGAAGTGTCCTGTAAGGGCAGTACAGGTGCACAATCTCAGATGAGATGAACACTTGCCCATTACAAATTTCATGCATCTCAGAAGAAATACAGGCAATTTCAGGCATCTTCCTCCATTCTCACACTGGGTGAGGAAGCTGCGCTCTGATTTATGGTACCAGAGGCCAGCAGGGTAGGTACCAACGTTTAACATTCATTATTCTATTTAAAAAATGAGTTTGATTGGGTTTTTATAATGATACAAGTGAAGTCTCAAGGTCAGCTGGACAAGTATGAAAGAAGACAGCAGCAGTGGATTTGGCCTGCCATCATCATCCCAGGTATTTTTACAATAAAATCATTAAATCATAAACAAGGTTTTTAATAACAAACAGGAATAAACTGAGAAAAGGTAGGCCCAGTTTCAATATTTAAAGCTACTTAGTAGCTTGTCTTCCACATTTGCCTTTTTGGATACTTCCTTTAGAAGTACTGATTCTAAAATCTCCTTTACAATGATGCATTCTTTTCTCATATCTTAACTCCTGTTTGCAAGATTAATTTAAATGAAATGAAGCACCATTTCCCCTCTCCATTCAGATTTTACCGATATGATTTTTATTGGCAGTATCTTCTGAGTAGAAAGGCAAATGGTCATTTGATGAGGGTAATATTTTTAAGAAACAGCTATAATTGTAGTAAAGGATGTTGACCTGATTATTCTAGAGACAGATCTATTAGATAGAAGAATAGATACAATAGGTATAAATACTGTACAAGGTGCTACATTCCTGCCTGTGACTTTAACAGTAATATGCAGACAAGAATTGCTCCAAATAAGAAATTGTTCCAAATTTCTATTTCCATTCAATCTTCTGCATATCTGCTGAGTCTTGAAATAATTCCTTCAGTTATGATGTTACCTATTACCAAACATGAAAACCAGGAACTTTACAATTTGTTTCACCTCAGCCAGAGAAGAACCAGAAATCATGTGTAAAAGATGACTACATTAGACATATGGCAGTGGATTTATATGGAGAATTTCACATCTGCTGCTGTGAGCTATAACGTGTGTTGAAGAAAGATAGCAGAATAACATCCTGATTGTTGATTAGTATTTTAGGTATTGAATTTTCCAAATTTTTTTGAGAAGTTGGATCTAAGCCATGACGTTCAACCCCCTCCAAGAATCTCAATATGACTGCTGATGACTACATTACTCTGCACACCATCACCTCCTCAAGCAAAAGAAGCTTCTCTCTACCTAATGTTTACATTTTTTCTACAATCTTGCTTAAAGATAACATTCTTCATTTCCCTTAACTATTCTCTTGTAGTAAAAACTGTATTTCTCATTTACATGATTGGCATGTACAAAATACGTAGTCTGTAAAGTAGTAGATTTCTTCCAGAACAGATAATCCATAAATAAATCTGAATTTTCATCAGCTATTAAAGGCATACATACATATATATATCTAAAGCTGATGAGGCAGTGAAAAAAGCCTGAATGCCATTGGTTTTAAAGAAAGCTCTATGCTACTTTACTCAAAATATTATTTTATGAAGTTGACTAATGGACAAGTAGGACTAGTAGGACAAGAAAAACATGGAAAAGCCAGCTGCAACAGCAAATAAAATAAAAATACGTGCTTTCTCAATCTTTCTCATAAATAATAACATAGTGTTCGAGATCTTCTAATAATAACCATGAAATACGGTACAAAGCCATACCAAAAAGTGATATAAGGGGTATTATGACATACATGTTGCTTTATCATTAAGTGCTCATGAAGAAAATTAGATCCATTCAAGCATTTCAGTTTGGAAGATTGTCACACACTAATGGCCTATGGTCAGAATATAAATCTTCCAACATTTTTGAGCTATTCAGTTGTCCAGGCTGCACATTACCAGTAAAACATGGTGTTTCTGCACACACTGCGTCACTGATGACAGCAACATGCAGGTCTTAAATTACAGTGAAGAAATCACTTCCAGAGATGGTCCTTCAAAAAGGTACTATGAAAACCTCTTCTGATAGTTATTCTACTTCAGTAGATCTTTTAAACAAACAAATAGCTTTCCTTCCTTTCTATAATGAAGTCAATTCATTTTGAGAGAGTAATATAATCACTTCTGTTCGTTTCCTTTTTTGTGAGCCCTCTTCAGAGATGTTTCAGAAAAACAGCACAAGATAGCTGAAAAACGTAAGCATTTTTCATAAAACCAGTAAGTTTTCCAAAACAATGCTTTTTTGTTGCTGTTTCCTTAAAAAATAAAAAGAAAAAGAAAGCTGCCTATTTTAAAGAATCCTTGAACTAAATTTTGGTTAAGTTTGAATTCTTCTGGAAGAATACGTTAAACTTGTAAGTTCTGCTTCTCTTTAAGAAACTAGTACACCACTAAATGCCTCCATGAATAGCCTTTTAGCTACTTTCTACCAGTGCTGGTATAAAAGCTCTCCTAAATCAAGTCCTATTTTAAAAAAAGTTAATTTTGACTAACCCTTTATCCAAATGTGAGAGCATTCAGACAGTGTGAGGGCTTCAGCACAATGGAAAGCCAGTTCTATCCAATTCATAGTATATAAGAAGGAATGATGCATGAAAAATTTGAAAGAAGAAAATGAAGTGTAAAGAGCTGCTTTATAGGACAGCCAGGCTCTGGAGGACTCTTCAAGCATAACAGGATTTGCCTTCTGAGCAAGAATCTTTGGATTACCAGACCTGAACAACTGAGTAGAGTTCATGTAGCAAAGAAAGAGGGGGGAGGGGGAAGATCACTGGAGTATATCAGCATAAGAGACCATGGATAAATGCAGTTTTCTGTGGACATCAACAAATGGGGTGCAATCAGTACTCTGATTTATTGCAACATGAATGCATTAGTACTTAGAGCAAAGTTACCGTACAACATCTTAACTGGTTGGGCACAATACCACCTACCACTGCCTTGGTTTGCCTTTAGCATGAAACCCAGTGTACCACCAAAATAATATTTCCAGGAGGAGTTATAGAAAAGCAAGCATTCTAGCTCTTTTCCCAAGGTGTAATTATTATTTCAGCTCATGACAAAATTCACTATACCCTCCTTAGGCTTAAGGACTTTTCTGGTCTCCCACAAGGTCTCTTGACTTTGTCATCTTTTGCCAGAATGGCCTGGTTTTGGCTGGCATAGTAATTTTTCTTCCTAGTAGCTGCTACAGTGCTGTGTTTTGGCTTTAGTCTGGGAATAATGTCGATGTTTTAGTTGTTGCTAAGCAGTGTTCACACTAAGTCAAGGACTTTTCAGCTTCTCACCCCACCCCACCAGTGAGGCTGGAGGACACAAGAAGGTGGGAGGGGGCATAGCCAGGACAGCTGACCTAAAGTGGCCAAAGAAATATCTCACACCATGTGACACAATGCTCAGTATATAATCTAGGGAGAAAGCTGGCTAGGGGCTGCTGCCCAGGAACTGGCTGGGCACCAGTCAGGGGGTCGTGAGCAATCGCACTGTGCATCACTTGTTTTGTATGTTCTAATTCTTTTATTGTCACCATCATCACCGTTATTCTCTTTTCTGTTTCTGACCTATTTAACTGTCTTTATCTCAACCCCCAAATTTTACTTTTCCCTCCCTCTCTCCCCACAAATCCTCTCATCCCACAGCAGTCAGGGAAGTGAGCAAGCAACTGTGCGGTGTTTAGCCACCTGCCTGCTTAAACCATGACATGGTCTTAACATTGTGTCCCTTCTAGCACTGACCTAATCCAGACAGCCCACATACCCTCCAGACCTCCACCTCCCAGGATTTTGCCTTTGAGTTCTGGAGACTTGTCTTCTCCAAGTTGTCTTCCCAGCAGGCTTCCTTCTTCAGAGCCTGACCCAGCAATTCAGAGCCTGACTGAGCCTCAGTATTTCCCAAGAGGCCTTGTTGTTAAGAATGTTCCCATGACATGATTTTGGGATTGATCCTCCCCAAGAATTGAGCTACACAAGCTTTGAGAAGGCTGAGGTCTAACACCCAAAAAGGGACACCCCCTTTCAAGTCTCCTAATTGCAATGCTATTATTTCTCCTAGGGAGTATCAACAGTTAGTGAAGGTGTATCAACCACCTCAGTTTCACCTTCTCCTCTAAAAAGCTATGTACGATTTTCTTTTCTGGCAAGGAGCACTTACCCTGCTGCCCCTGCGGTGTTTGTGAGATGATGAACTGTGCTGGCTGCAAGTTGGTTGTTGGATGCACCAACACAAACTGTTGCAGGTTGAGATTCTGTTGCTGAAGCTGCTGCAAGTGCTGCAAATCCTTAAGGAAACAGGGGAAGGGGGGGAAAAAAAAGAGGGGACAAAAAAAGAAAGAAAAAAAAGGGGGGAAAGAAAGAGCTGTGCGTTAGACATGTAAGTCAGCCATGACTCCCAGTGTAACTAGATTCCCTATCAACCAGTTATATTCTAACATTTAAAGATAAATGTGGATGTCCAACACAGCAGTCTTGCTACCTGCTACTGAGTATCCTTTTGTCCTGGGTTTGAGTTGCTCTGTCCTTTGTAAAACCAAACAAAAATTGTGTACCAAATAACCCAGCAGAATATTTTCAGCACTGTTCTGCTTTAACAAAGAAGAAAATCAATTCCCTCTCTCCCCACCCCGAATGCAGTAGTTTTCAAATCCTTTTGAACTAGCAGCACCCATATTTTTCAGACTTACTTTCTGAGGATGCAACTCTGCTACAAAACTCATTGTTGACAAATCAAGCATATTAGCTGGGAGCGATTTTGTTTATAAAAACAACAGTCTGCAATTACCATTCTAATCAGCAACAGGAAAGCAAAAAATTACAGCTTCCTAGTTTGCACTCTGGTTCTTCAGGTCAAATTTCAGAAAGTAGCTAATGCAAATAGTAAATAAATATGTTTTATTAGTTCTAAATCAAATTACAATAAGCTTAACAAACATGGCTATAATTAAAGATTAAAAGGAATAATCCAAACCACTGCACTACTATAGAATGCTATTTTTATGTATATAAACCATTCAGAACTATTAATTCTCTGTAACAAAATGACTGGTCTCAACATAAATGCTAATCTCCGAAAAACTGAATCATCAAGAAAAATGCTTTAACTTTTTGTTTAGCTGGATGATGAAAACATAGAGAACTGATTAAAAATACTCCCCCCAAACTAGTCTTTTCCTTTCATCTTCTTCAAGCACGACAATAACAAGAGTAACTGAAATTTGAAAATGGCAGCACAACGTGAAGCTGGCCAACATAACAGAGGTAATCTATGAAAACTGTCTATTCACTTGTGTAGAACCTTTCTACCTTTCCAAGAAGAAACTGTTTTTCAGGATAAAAGCCTGAGATACTGCCCAGAAGTAGAATTTCCCATTAAACAGACCAAACAAACCAAACAAAAAACCCTCCCAAAACTCTGATTCTGATGAGTTGCTCAGATACTGGGGTACCTGTCTGCAGACAGATGCCCTTTTCTGGGTCCGACCACGTCAGAAGATGTTAACATTGCCAGTTTGACCCTATACAGTGCTCAGTCTTGCTGCCTGAATGGAGCTCCTAGTTTTAACACACTTGATGAGCCAGACTAAGACCTGCTTCTTAAGGCCCACAAACTAGCCCCCACGCATTTTGACTGATGCAGGTTACTGAGCACTCAAGCTGCTCAGCCAGCAGATGCTAAAGGCCATCAACTGACAGCGATGGAAAGTCAGGACAGACTGACAAGGATAACTTTTTATTTACACAACACAATCATTTGCAGAATATAGTTATCTGACTATGACCTTACATGATTTTTAAACTGTTAAACTAAGACTTCACAGTTGCAACAATCTCCTCCTGGGGAAGAGGAGTGGGGAGTATCAGTGGGTAGAACGGAAGGGAAAAAAAGAGTCAACTGATTTATGAGACCACAGACAGGCATTATAAGAAAATGACTACTTAACCTGCATTACAAAGACACTGGCCATCAATCACTTACACAACTTGGTCATGTTAAGTCAAAAGCATGCAATGTAATAATATGGTACACAGACAACGAATGGACTGACCAAGCAATGCTCTTTAAGAGATGGAAACTTACATTTTATAAGAGAATGGTAATATTTCAGAACGTGCCTGCCAGCAGAACAGAGTGGCTTTGATGGTGATTTTTTTTGTTTGCTTTCAGAAAATTTGAGAAGTACTGCAACCATTCCTATGAAATTGAGGCAAATTTCCTTCCAAGAGAGAGATGTAACTGCTCCAGTTTTTGCCCAGGAACTCCACATCTCTTCTGACTTCGTATTATGAAGTTAGATTAGTCAGAACTGTTACTAAAAACTCTTTACTTCTTCAGCTGAAACCACGAGAGCGACATGGACCTCCATTCATTTATTCACTTATTTCCAGTGCTCTACTGGCTACCTTTTCAGACTGAGCAGACCCTCCAGCACAGAAGGGGCTCCTACTGAAATGGATGCAAGGACTAGATGCAGAGGAAGAAACAAAAATAGAAAGAGTAGGGCAAGCTGACTAAGGCTGTGAACACTGGGTGGAAGAAAAATAAATGGAGACTGAAGGATTAAAATAGAGGTGTATAAGAGAAAAAGTAGAAACACAAAAGGAAGAGTTGGGAAGAAATTTTTGAAGGAAAAATAGTGGGCAGAAAACCAGATAGGTTTTCTGTCTGGACCTCCCCCACCACAAGCAAACAACTGCACGCACACCCCCCCTAGATGACCATGTAGATCTCATGATGTGAAGAAGTACCACAGCAGATGAAACGGTGGCGGTGTATTTTTAAGATCAAAGGAGGCGAGCTTTTTGTTGAAAACTATAGTATTCACGAAACAGGGTACCCAGCTAAGACATGACAGCTCTTATCAGGCTCTTACACTTTAATATGAGAAAACTTTTTAAATTGAGGCCTCAGGGATAACTGGTAAAAGCAATCATATTCTGTGCATCTGCCTTGGTAAATGGTATGTTGGCTGAGCCTTGTTTAAACACAGAAATACAATTCCATAGCACAGAATGGAAATGATGCCTCCAAGGCTAATCACTCTTAAATAGCCCTACAAGCCCCTCAAATTCATTTGAAATCCAACTTTATTTCTACCTTGGGAAAGTTCAGTTATTTAGTTAATTGTAGCATTCCAATAAATCTCCCAATAGCAACCATGTGAACAAACCCGACACTGTTTCCCTGTACCAATCTTGTTTTCTCAATGGCAAAATCTGTCTACGAGCACAAGCACATAGAAAGAGATGGAAAGACTTTTGGGGAAACATGTACCTCTTCTTGTGCTGCCTAGCAATTTAGAAAGATCAAAACAATCCAACTCCTATCTTGGCAGAATAATCTGCCAACTGATGCATCCTGACATGAAGAAGTTTCTTGGTTTTGTTTTTTAAAGTCATCTGAAGTTCTAAATTCATCAGGGACTGTAGCAATAGGACAAGGGGTGATGGGTTTAAACTTAAACAGGGGGCGTTCAGTTAGATAAAAGGAAGAAGCTCTTTCCTGTGAGGGTGCTGAGGCACTGGCACAGGGTGCCCAGAGAACTGATAAATGCTCCATCCCTGGCACTGTTCAAGGCCAGGTTGGACAGAGCCTTGGTTGACACGGTCTAGTGTGAGGTGTCCCTGCCCATGGCAGGGGGGTTTTGAATAGATAATATTTAGGTCCTTTCCAACCCAAACCATTCTGTGATTATCTCCAGCTACAACTTCAGAACTAACTTAAGCATCTTTGACATTTTCAGGTTTACATCATATAAACACTGATCATGGATCCTGAAAACAAGTAACATTTACAAAGAACTCCAAAACTTGGTACAACAGTTTAGTGACAATTTAGCATCATCAGCCCAGCAGCAGCACTAACCTCTTACCAGACTGCTGCAGCTGATACCTGACATTAACCGAGCGCACGTGAAAGACGTCATGGTTCTGCAATTAGTTAATTAAACATGGCAACCCTCCTGCTGCAGAGGCCTGCCAGTTAATCAATTATTCAAAAATCATCAATTAAAACAAACATGCAGCTATCTCTGTAATCAGCTATATGTTTCCAATAGCAATGCAAACAAAGCTGAGCCCTGCTTGTAAATGGTTGCCAAGATGGATCAAAAACCATGGTTTTATCAACCTACAAATGTATAGTAGAAGTTTTCCATGGGGTATCTCAATTTAAATCCAATACCTGCACATATTATGCCCTGCATTTTCATCATAAGAAGCTAACAAGATTCAACCAAGCTACATTTATATATCAAAATAACCTTTCCTAAAAGAAATTAATTGTAAAGCCAAGCATTTAAGTATTGAGGAATGCCAGAAAACAAGCAAAACTTTACTTTTTAACCCTTGTGCTACAAATACACATTATATGTGTTTGCATAGGTGGCAACTACATGATCACACGCTGTTTTCCACAGAGCCTTTAGCTCATTCACATGCACAAACCAGACAACGCTCATTTCAGAAGCTCCTATTTGACAGCACATGCCTGATCTTTTCAACTCTTCTCTGAAGATTCTGTAAGTTCTGGAGAAAACCCCAATATGAAATTAGTAATTCTAAGCACTTCACACATTTTCACAGCTTCCCACTGAAGTGGAAGAGCGGGATTAGCAGCATTTTGCACACACACAATAATGCCTTCAAAAATACCCACTAATTTGGTGGCATATTTGATAAATGTAAATAAAGCCAGAAAGTTAAAGGCACAGATTTTGTTAATATGGAATCTCGATACTTTGCAATTCAGTAAAGCCGACCTCACTATCTTAAGCTGCACACCTGGAAGACAAGAGTCACACATCTGTGGATCACTTACATTTAAGTTGACTCACATAATATCAAATGGGAACCCTGTGACAGATGCACAGAGAGATGTTAGAAGCTAATGACAAGGACATTTCCCATTCTTTTCTTGAAATCTGCCTGTATTACTGGCTAGAGACAAAGGCTTAACAAAATTAAGATATAGGCTTGGAGTTATGAGCTTCCTTGAATGCTACATTCTTGAATCACCTCCAGATCATGACAGTGAAGTGGAACACTTTGCTAAAAGAAGTAGTAATATCTGCTCATAGTGCACCAAGAACCAAGAGATTCAGTGGGCAGCTTCAATTCTGGCCTTTTAAAAGGGGGTTGGCATCACTCTGGCCTCTGTAAGGACAGTCAAAGAGGTCAGAACTTTTAGACCAACACCACAGAAGTTTGCCACTTCAGATAAGAAAAAACCTGATAGCACAACCAGGCTGTTATTCAGCTAGCAGACTAGCACAATAAAGGAATAGCGCATTTCACCAATGGGTGTCACAGGTAATTGAAGCATTTCCATTCTTTTACCTAACCAGCCCTCATCTTCACTTCTTGGACACTTCATCCCAGTTAAATGCAAGTGAAAACAGTCAGAATAGAAAGCATCAGACAGTCTTAAAGAATCTGGTCACTGTAAGAAGCAGCAGCTTTGGAGATTACATACCCAACATACTTTGCACAGCTAGACTAATCACACTGAAATACTACATACCAAGAATCTTAATCTATGGAAAGATGGACCTCAGCAACACACTCACCTACTAGTAGTAGTCAAGATGCCTATGCTGTGTATTTGGTTACCCTTGTCCAGAAGCATAGAAGATAAACCACAACATTTGCTAAGCATAGAGTCAGTGGCACTGCATTCTCCACACTGAACTAAGCCAACCCTGGAAGACCCAGGATCTTCGCTGCTCCTAGTAAGCAGAACTTCCTTCATAAGCAGAATTAAGAATTAACGGCTCTTTTAGCACCAGACCATAGAACTGGACAGATTCCGACACCAGACTCATTACACACAAGAGCACCTATTCTTTGTCACTGAACTCTGAGCAGTAAGCACCAAGCCAAAATACCACACAACCGTGTCAAGCCAAACTGCCTTTCTTCAGCTCTATCACCTTGCTGTTTGGATCTAACAAGCATCCTTTCTGATATATACGTGTCCCTTCCCATCCATACAGGTCTTGACAAGTGCCATTTCTATGGGCATCCTTCTACACCACTTTTTCTCCTTTCTCAAGCTAACTACAAGAAAAAGGAAAATTCAGAAAATATAGCAGTTGGTCAGATTCTGGAACAAACTGAGAAGCCCAGTGGAACTGATAAGCAACTGGTACACATTCTTTGCTAAAACTATCAACTTCAATCTCATCAGCTAAGGATGCATGAGAAAAGACTAACAGTACTCAAGGACTCTAGAAACTCACTGAATGAGGAAGAAAAATATCATTTGAATGATGCAATTAGTCAAACCTCTTTATTTTCCACCCTCTCAAGCCTCAAGGCTCACCTGTGCAATCTGTATTGGCTGAGATAGAGGGATCTGCGTCATCGGCGTTGCAGCAGAGGCCGAGATGGTGGCACCAGCAGCGCTGTGCTGCTGACTGGCTGAATGCTGCACTGCAGCCGCCAGCAACTGTGCCTGCGCCTGTTGTAGCAATAACTGTTGCTGGGCTGGCGTCAACGTGAGCTATAAATAATTAGAAAACACAGCCATTAATAATGGAAAGAGCCACTTCAGCTACAAAGTCATTAGCTAGCTCATTACTAGTTGTATTAACCAGACATGCCTAGAACTGTTACTACAGTTCAGCCATTAACTAGCCAATGACTCTAGCCTTAAGTAAGGACAGCTGGCTACTCAACACAGTGTAGGAACCAACCTACCACACACCTGCCATAAACCAAACCGCCTGAACGCAATCATTTGCACTTACTACAGAACCTAACTTTTCTTCACGACTCTACCAGGAGGTTCAGGAAAAGGGTGATTAAGCACCAAGCAAAAGAAAAGAATCAGTATTGCCAGGATTTGAAAGGAAATTTACACCCAGCAGAACAGCAAGTGATTTGCCAGATGAATGAGAAGCAGAAATGCTGGCTATGGCTACTGAACAAACTGATAACACCCCAGCTGCTTCACATTAGCATGAATCCCTGCCATATTCCATCATTTCCATTATGCCGTAAGATATAAGAACATGAGCTCCATTTGTTTCTCTCCAAGTCTCCCCATCTGCCTTTTTTTTTTTTGGTTTTTTTTAATAGAATAGAGTTGGCAAGTTTACATCCCTTCCTTTTCCCAAACACGCATTATCTCTGTGAAACAGGTGGCAGCAGTCTCTCCTTTACATGTAAATGAATCTTGATGCCCATATTTACTACAATCCATATCTACATAGGCCTGGAGTTTTGAATGTTTCACCACCGCAGACAATCATAAATTAAAACAAACCCATTTTCGTTGAGAATGAGAAAAATAATAAAATATGCTGAGTTTTAAGAACAGTCTCACTCACATATTAAAACAGTCTCACTTTAAAAACTCTGAAATGTAATTAACCAAAAACTAAATAGGATGTTTACTTACACACTAGCATACCAGAAGATCTAACAATTGAACATGAAATTAAGATACTGTTCCATTCAAGAGTAGAGATGATCTAACCTTCAAATCATAAATACACTGTTGAAGCAACTGCCCTACACTCCTTATTAACATGCAAACTCTTAACACTGCAAAGCTGATTACATGGAAGCAAACTCTTTAACCAAACCAGTCCATTCATAAAACTTGCTCTTTTTTTAAATGACTGAAAGCATTTACCACAATTCAGAAACACCAATAATCCTAAACCTACAGTTATTTCTTGATTACTTCCAAAGCTGTGCAATTAAAAGAATCAAAATTGTTAAGTTAAACCAGGAGGGTTGAGTGGGCTTAAGGCAAGCACTAATATAGTTACTTAAGAAGAAACGTGTTTGAGAAGAGGAAGAATTAGGGTCAGCAGTTCCCATCATTTTTGTTCTTCACCCAGCTATCTGATAAGATTTAGTCTCATGTTCCCATGCCTCATTTTAATCTTGGGGGGAAAAAAAAAAAAGAAAATCCTCTTTATGATATCAGTGACTTTCTCATTTGTACACACATCAGGTTTTAATTTCACTGTAAAATCAGGATGGATATTTAGAACAGAAAGATTTCTTTTTTCTTAAAGCAAATATTTTGCAACAGGACTCAAAGCTTAAATTCTGCTTTTTTATAGGAGATATTTTCCGTCCCCTCTTTCACTTAAGTTTCTTCCTGTATTAAAGGAAATGACAATAACCCTCACTGATAGTTCTGTGGGGCCTGCCACAGAGAGTGCCATCATTTGCTGGACAGGAGGCTTACTACAGTATACTTGGGTAAATCTTACCCCAGTGATCTGTCCTCCGGCCAGCATGAGCTGGGTCTGGGGTATGGCCGCCTGCACTGAAGGCTGCTGGGAAGGCTGGCTTGGCTGCTGAGAGTCCCCAGATTCTTCATTAGATTTAGACTAGTCAAAAAAAAATACAATTCTTTATAGTGTAAAACAGATGTTAATGTATAACGCTGCTATCTCTCAACACTGCACAATAAAAATGTTTCATCTGCATACAAAAAGCCCTTGGGTTTATTTTAAGAGTGTGTTTAAGCAATGGCTCTATGTGCCCACCACCTCAGCTACGATTGCTCAAACATGTCTGTAGGTAATGCAGTTTAAACAAAACAAAAAGACTCTCAGGTCTTTTGTAACTCTTTGACATAATTTTCAGGTCTCGTTTCCTTTTATGCAATGCAGCTGAAGCTGACACTACCTTTCACCATAAAGAAAGAAAAGGTTATTAAAATTATTCACTGCCTAAAATCCTGAACAATGGAATGACGGAAAGGAGATTGTGTTTCCATTTTCTGTATCTGCATCCCACACCCCTAAGTCATCATTCTGTCTGTTGAACTGGTTTGAGAAATCCTCACGTTTATCTACCTACAGCAAGATACGTAATACATACAGTGCTTTTAAATAATCAAAGTTTAGCATTTATTTAATTGAATGCTGCTTTATTTTAAAATATTTGGAGGCTTGGGTTTTTTTTTGTGTGTGGTTTTCATTTTGGGGGGGGCTATTTGTTGGGGGTTTTTTTGGGGGTTGTTTTGGGTTTTTTTAACAGAAGAAATTGTAAAGACATGAGGGAGGAAATGCAAGTGCATGATGAGGGGGAGAGTTTTATGATAATTAAAACTGGTTATGCAGAACATTAAAATTCTGCATAGATTTGCATATTTTCCACCACCTGTTTTGGGGACTGCAGAGCAGGCTAATTAACATAAAGGCTCTGATTAATTCTGCCAGTCATTGAGCGATAATTACAACGCAGGACTGTAAACATTCTGCACTGGAGATACAGCCTGTTTGCCAACATCTCTCTCAGGGATGGAAGTTTACCATGGCAACCAAGGCAATTTTCTGCCTCCTTCCTCTTAGAAAGGAAGGTCACTATACCTCCTCTTCTTTCCAAATTGTTATTATGTTTAAGTGGGTCCACATTCTATTGCATTCTCTGTAATGCACTACCTACGTTCTTTAATAACAAGCACTATTGAAACCAGTTTTCAATAAAACTGCATCCATCACTTGCCCCTTAAACTAGTACTGAGAGGAAGTGGCACGTTAACTGATACACTGAAGTGTTCAGCATCTGAGCACAAAAAAGTTTGAAAGTTTGATGTCTCACGTTCGTTATTAAATAACAGTTGCTCCGATTTATTTTGAAAATCACTATGTGTTATTTACACAAGCAACCTACACCAGCCACATTACATAGTTAATGTTACATTATACTCCTATATTCAGCTACCAGAAGCAAGGACAAATTGCAAAGTAATACTTGCTATGTTTAAAATACATGAAGAAATGGAAGAACATGAAATATTCCTGGAGGTTTACTGTTCTCATGATACAACATCTGTCTGAAATTCAGTATAAAGTTACGATCACTGCATGTTTTAACCCCAGTTTCTGAATGCTTACAATCCTGAGCCTGATTTACAGTTGTAAAACTATTATTCCTTTGCACCTACACTTGCAAGACCAGTCAGAATGAAAAAACAGAGTAGCATATCATAGGTTAAAAACCATCTCTAATGGGACCACAATGCTGTTTGGAATGAGAGAAGGATGAGCAATGGAAGGTAACTGTCTTTACCTGTACATTTAAGGACTGAGCAGCAGCCTGTAAACTTGTTCCAGCGAGCTGGACCTACAACACAGTGCAAAAACGGAAATGAAATCATGTAGAATGCACAAAAAACTTAAACAATGCTAAAAGAACCACCTCAACAAAAACTCCCCCAAGAACAATGCATGCCCTTCTAACATCTGAGTTAGTGAAACGGGTTGTGCCCCAGGCCGAAAGAAAATCTCTAACTCTTCCACCGTGTTCTTTGTCTACCTCTTGTTGAACATACTCCTGCCAGAGAACATTATCATGAAATTGAGTTGAAACAGCATTTTGAGGTGGCCAGGCTAACTATTCCTGTTTAAAAAATAAAATTGAGGCTGCAGGGGAGGGCAGTAAGCTCTGCTCATCATCATCCTTCTTGTGTTTCAGAATGGGTATTACCCCAGATATATATGCTGCATTTACCCACTTTCTTATACGACAGAGGAGCAAGCACCTGCATAGCACAAATCCCACAGCATAAACACTCTTCCTCAAATCAACCCATTCAAGTATGCACAGCCCTCAGCACAGAAGATCTCAATACAGAGGACTGCAGACACTTTACAAAAGCCATATTGATTCAGGTATACTCAAAACTTGAATTCAATGCTTGTGATTAACAGGTCCAAAGATCTTTGTGGGTTAGCAGTGAAGAAAAACTGGTACTTCAGAAAGTGAGATTTTTGAATCTCACTTGTTATTTTATCTCTAATAAGGATTTTCTTTGTACAGCAAATGCTGAGTTTTCAATTACTGAAGACCTTTTTAATCAGTCTCACCTTGTTTCTACCACCACTCCTATTAATATAAAGAAGGAATGCTAGGTAATTAATTACCAACACTTTCAAAGGTCAGAATTACAGCCTGTAGCGAGTTTCATCTCTGGTTATGTTTGAAAACCATTGCTCATTTGAAAACCAGGAAACACATAAGGATACAATAAAGCAAAGCAAAATGTAGCGCTCTTGCATCTGTAAAAAGATGTTCCCACATAATATACATCACAAAAGAGAGTCCACATCTCTGCAAGCACAGGAAGGAGAGTTTTAATTTGAATTGCAGTACACGAAATTAGTAACTGAGTATTTGAACAGGCAACCCTTGAGAGTCACCTTGGAAATATTTCCTACCACTCTAGATGAAGGTGCTAAACTTACTAAGCATATTCTACATCTAAGCAAACACCCCCAGAAAACCTCCTCCTCATCACAAGCAAAATACAGTTTGACAAAGTTGATGCAATCTCAGCTTTTAACATGAATTAGCAGCAGAGAATAATTAAGTTATAGTAGCCTGCCCTCCAAAAATACACTCAGAAACAGTATTTTTAAATGAATTCATACTATTAACTAGACCACATAAAACACTACAAGTGTATCGCACTCAGGTACAGCCAGCATATTGCTGAAAATCTTTGAATGCAGTTTGGACACTGCTTCCACCACACAAAAAAACCCCATTTCTAATTAAACTGTTCCTGAATGTTGCCTACAACCTGACAGTTTGTATCAGTCTGGAGGAAAGCGCTGTGTGTGAATAACAGTGAAAAATAAAGCTGAATAACACCCCACTAACAGCCACCACACTAGAAGCGGACAGTTTGACAATAGATTCCCACACACCTGCAGGTGCATAAAAGAATAGCTGAGATTTTCCTTTGAACTAGAGTTTCAAGAAATGAATCACACTTTATCAAACATGAAGTTATAAAGATCCTGACAACTGTTTAAATAAATACATTTCCAAAGCAAGATAAAGCATTGTGCTAAACACAACAACTGTCCTGGATCAATCTATGTAACAAAACAAAGACTAAACCAAACACACAAAATTCAGCAGAACAGCTGTATCTGTCTCTGTGTTAAACACATACTGACAACCCATGAAAACCAGTCAGCTTCTCTCTACATAAAGGCAGCCTACAACAGCCTATTGGTTCAGCAAATTCAAACACAGGCACTCCCTAGGTCCTATATAACCCAATCTACTAGGAAAATTGTAATTATGTGACGTGTGGAATGTTCCACACAATAAAATGGCAGTTCAGAGCTCTTAAAAGAGGGCATAAAAGCTTCAGTACGTCAATTATACCACAGTAACTGTGCAACCTCAGACCTCAGACATTCAAGGTCAGCCAATTAGGTAGAGTATTTTAAAGTTTAAACTTGGTGTTGAGGAAGGGAAAGAAATTAGGACATTTGTTTTCGTACATCGAGTACGAACAGATTAAAAAAAAACTACAAAAAATGCCCCTTACACTTCTCTCCACCCAGGGATGCCCTATTTTGCTTCAGCCTACATCTGAAGTTCAGCTTTGATTCCCCAAACAGAGCAGCAGCAGAACACAGGGACAGCAGTAAAAGCCTGAATATCATCTGACAAACAGGTCCTTGAAATAACTAAAAAAAAAAAATAAATTAAAACTCACAAACAGTATATGCTTAGTAAGCAGCATCACTTTGTATTTTGAGTTAATGTGCAAGAGCCTGAAAGACTGAACCATTCAACACCATTTCTGGTTTCTTAACCAGGTAGTGACAGCTTCAGAACCTTGGCAGCTGCTGGGCCAATACAATCCTTTACCGAAATGATTAAATTCTACCTTGCCTTTCAATTTGTTAATTCAGGGAGAGTAAGGGGGAAATAGAAATACTTTAGGCATTTTTAAGTCCCCAAAAAGGGGCTTTCTAGTTCCCCCAAATAGGTCTCACCCTATTTGGACGTATGAGTGCAACAGTAAGAATTTTTTCCCACCAAAGCTATTTAAGAATGTGGTCTACCCATATGTTCCTTTGCATGTTCCTATCATTCACATGAAGAGAGAACACACAACAGAAAAGATAAGCTGTGTTCATACCTGTCCGAGTCTACCCTACTTTGAAATGGGTCTTCTCTTACCTGATGAAGGTGCCCAAGGAAGGCCTGGGCCTGGGCTGTAGAGATTGCTCCTCCGACAGGCACAGGCTGCTTTTGAAAGTCCAGGCCATTCGTTTGCGTGCCTGGAGAAGGAGAGACGAGAACTATTAGTTATTACTTTTATGGAATAAGAATTAATATTCCCAAGTCTCCTGCTCCTCTCACAATACTATGCAGCAGAGAAGTACTCTGAGAGTAACAAGAATTGAATTTTTTCTCTGAAAAGGGAATGGGGGTGAGGAAGCAGTGTCACTTGCAGGCTTCAGTAATATAGCATGTGTCAGCTGAATTACACCAATGTTGTATTCTCTTCAGCTTCTATCACCTATGTACACCATCACCCCATCATTCTCTAACATGGTTTGAGAATCAAATGGGTGCACGCTGCTAAGGTTAAACTGCATTTACATTTTCCGTGTGCTTTCTATCTAGCAGCTGAAAACTATCTTCAAGTTCAGAAAGTGGCAAAACCAAGGTTCATATAAAAATCACCTTTCATTAAAGACAGTTAAAATAATATTAGCTGAAAACAGAAGTACCATGTACACGTAGCAGTTATAGGCCACAGTTTTGCTCTTGATAAAAAATACCTCCACATTTCCATGAATATTTGTGCAGAGCTCTTGTAACAAAACTGCTTGGGCTTGCTTTTGCTACACCAATTTTCACATAACTAAAACCCGATTATTTTCCTATATTTTCATTGGTCTTCTTCCTAAACAACTTGGCAGACATGAGAAACCCCAAACTATCCCCATATAATCTGGTTGTGAGAAGAACTGGAGCAGGGGTGGGATGTGGGACAGAGACAGGCTGGGACATTCTCTTCTGCCAAGAGGGACTATAACTACAAACTTTTAAGAATCATTCTGTGGAGAGGCGATAAAATCAACGTTAGGGATTATCAACAACTGGGTTTGCATGGTGGGCATTAATTACTACTTACAGCAGCTAAAAAGAAGGCAGGCTCAGTGTACTGTATGCAGTTTCTAGAACAGATGATGCAATGTTAAGAATTGTGTGACTGAAATAAAGTAAAACCAGCTTTAGAGTTGCATGTTTACTCTTGATGACAATCAGATTTTGGTCAGTGCCTATGGGCAGGTGTTCAACTGACTCCTACGTCACCATCTACATTTTTTGCCATAAAAATTAACTTTATCTACTAAGCAAGAGAGAGTCACAGCTGCTGAACAACAGGGATTTGCTACTCCACAGAAACATCTGCAAAAGCAAGCAGGCCTAAAATCTCATCAGTGAAATACACTATCGAGTATTTTACATTGCTGTTTTGACCTACAAAAGGCTTACACAGATATGATTTCCAAAGACAGTCACTGTCCAGTTAAATAATGACACAAGCTTTCTAGCACCCATGTAACACAAACCTAAGGTGGCCCTTTGATGCATGTTTGGTGAAGGTGCTGTGTCAGAAAGGTTGGTCTATTCTCAAGTTTTCAATTGTGTGCTTTGGGCCAGGGCTTCCAGACTCAAGAGACACATGTGCAGACAAAGATCCATAGGCATATTAAATGTATTTAAAATAAAAAAAGCTTTAAACTACATAACATTATTTTGATTAATGAATCTAAAATTCCAATCCGAAGTGAACAGGACTATCACTGATCGTGAATGAATGTGACTTGGTTGCCTTTCTCAAAGATAAGTTAAACAAGAAGGTCTGCTGGAAAGAGCTGTAACAATATTTTTATAAGAGCAAGTAGTGATAGGATGAGGGCTTTAAACTAGAAAAGAGCAGATTTAGATTAGATATTAAGAAGCTCTTCCCTGTGAGGGTGCTGAGGCGCTGGCACAGGGTGCCCAGAGAAGCTGTGGCTGCCCCATCCCTGGCAGTGTTCAAGGCCAGGTTGGACACAGGGGCTTGGATCCCGTGGCAGGGGGTTGGAACTGGATTCCTTCCAACCCATTCTATGATAATCTCATCTATTTTCATTTTTTCCAGTAAAATGCAGAATTATCTCAATGCAGAAGGTCAAAGGGAGTGGGAAAATGCTTGGGTAAATATATATAAGTAATTCCTGACAAACAGCTACCATAATTCAACTGAAACATTCCACCACCTTCTCGTTTAAGCAGATGCTTTGAATCAATTTTCAACCTATGGGCAGGGACCTCCAAGCAGGAAAAAAAATACAGATAAGAAAACTTACTGTAAGGCAGATATTCCTCATTTCAATTGGAAACTTGCAGGATTCAAAAATGTTATCTGTATCTGAGAAGACTATCTGGAAGCCTCACCTTAAATAAGCAGGTGAAGCTGCTCTAGTGAACTGTTTTCTAAGAAGAGGCTTAAATCATGATACTGTAATTAAAAGAGCACTGCTATGCATGTGTGCAGAAATAATGCTCCAGATAAGTACTTTTGCTGACTCTTAATATGACAATTTAAACAAGCCTCCTAGGGTTAACAGCTTTGAACAAAGCAACTTTCAAGACTGAACTTAAAATCTCCATGGGTCCCAAAAATCAGTTTAGAGGTATGAGAGAAAACAATATTTTCTTTAAATTCAACCTTGAAGGACTCCAACTCCATCTCCCATGCCTCCTAAAACCAAATTCGGAGAAAAAACCCAACCCAAACCAAACCACCAATCCACACTGCTCATTCTCTGTTCTACTTGCATCTTAAGCTTTCTTTAGTATTTGGAAGTACAGTAAGCATCCCTTCCCTTTCGGATGCAGCCTTAGTTGGCACCCAGGTTGCTTGCATTTATCACAGGATGCTTATGTCTTTTGAAGACCAGCAAGGAAAATGAACTCTGAATCTAGCATATGAGAGGCCTTGCTCTTAAGATGCTCATAAGGATGTGACACCACCTCTCTGGAATCCAAGAAATCTGATCAGGAGACTGGAAAATGGGAGCTGTCAGAAGCAGGTCAGCACATTGCAAGGACATGAAAGGATCAGAATGCCACTTCTGCTCAAGATAAGGAGTTATGTGCAAATAGCCATGGTGATAAATAGACATGCCAGATGCAATCACAAGTATTGTGATTTTAACAATCCCAAGTATTTATATCTTTTCCATCTCCATCCCAGCTCCCACAACTGTTAGAGCTGATCTAACAGCTTACCTACACCAAAAAAAAAAAAAGCCAGGAGTTTTCTTGGCTCCAACTACATTGTCCCTGTCCTGCCTCTCCTCATAGTTCATGGACACAGAGGAAGACAATTCACTTTTCTAAACTGAATAGAAAACTATCCATGTGAACTGTTTCTTTTTTCTTTTGGCCAAGTTAGTTTTCTGCCAGTTATGTGAGATAACTCGCCTTAGGGCCCAGCCAGCAGCAGGTAATGCAAAGCAGGGGAGATCAGACATGTGTTTAGTATGGAAATGAGCCTCCACAGTTGTTAAGACTGAATCAAGCTATAGGATGAAATTTCAACCCTTATAGCCCACGTCCAATGCAACTTAAGCATGATTAAATTCTGCCATAAATTCAACCATCTGGTTAGCTACTTCATGGAGTTGGTTTGCATGAAAACCAGTATTAAGTGCAATTAATTTTCAGCCAAATCAAATCTCTGAACCATGTCATTCAGTGCCACTCCAGGAAAAGGAACAGAATACTAAGGAAGTAACAGGACACCCTGAATGTGGATTAGTTTATGGTGTCTTAGAATTGTACCTGCAGAGGATAAAGGCATGACAAAGTAAAACTGCACCTGCAGTCAACAGCACAACATACTCCCAAATCATCATAATCATCAGACTTCAGTCAGAGCTCACAAATCGCGTAAGAAGAGTGAGGAACTGCAGGTCTGCAGAGATGTGGAGTAAGGTGCAAGAAAGGACTCGGGAAGGGAAGGTGAACAAGAAGGCAGAATTCAAAACTATCTTGAGTGGGTATCTGCACAGGGCTCTAGGAGGCATCTTTCAGCACCAGCAGTACATTTCCTCTCCCTACATGGATTGAGAGAAAAGTTGCTGATTCCTTGCCCACATTACTAAGAAGTTTAGCATTAATATTTGCTCCAAATTTTCACAGTTGAAGAATATTTTATGGTTCCTCTCCAACACTGATATAGACTTTCTTCATATGGAAACTGGAAAATCAATCTCTGGAAATGGAGCAATCCTTAGAATCCTTCCAAATACTACACTTACACTATTATTTTACTGCTGTGTCAATGCATGTCATAATGCTGCAGTTACCACAGACATTATAACCTTGGCTTTCATAGTACTGCATTCACACAGCTTTTAAATAAAGAATATGCATTGAACAAACAAACAAAAAAGGTTGAGTTGTTTTGGAAAATTTTATGCTGCAGCCTACAGAAAGGAAACCAAAAGAGCTATCCATTTACTGTAAGACACACTACGTACTTCTCTCTTTTTTTCCAGTAGATATTAAACAGTCTGCCCAGCCACAACTGAAGACTGGAAAAGATTTGTGTAATTCTGCAATGCCAAACACCGGCTGATCAATTCACGCTCTTGTGAAAACAGCCATCCAACAACTCTTGTACTCACAGACTTCTGTTGTTGTTTTTAATGCATATGAAATATGGAGTTGCTTTTGCAGATGTTTAAAAGGGGAGCTCCGTTAGCACAAAGATTTTAAAGTTAAAATCTGTTTCAGGCATTTTATTGTAACCAGTGTATTCAGGGGATTGTACTATGTTCCCTAAATAGAGTCAGAAATACAAAACCCTGATCTGCTAGCTTCCCTGAAACTTAGCTGTTACCTCAGAGAACTACTGATGTTAAGACATCTTTACCAGTGGCAACTGTATTTATTTTTTTCCCTGAGAAGACTAGCTCTGCCAAATGTAAATTCCATGCCCTACAGTAATATCTCTTCAAATTTTCAAGCTGCATCAGCTTACTACAGTTCAAATCAGAAATGATCCAAACAAACATCCACTGAGGTTTAAAAGATAGACTAGGAGTTCTTACACAGCAGACTCACGTGATTTACAAATGTCACTGGAAAATAGACAGTTACAGCAAGTTACAAAAACAAGAACTCTCAGTGTTAATAAAAATGCTCTTCATGCATTTTGCTTCAGAGCTCCCCGGACAATCAATAGCACTTCCAGGTCCTTAGCATCTGAGCTGAGAGCTGACTTCTTTTCACTAAGTAAGCACAGAGCCCAGAACCATTAATCTGAGTACCCTGATCAGAAGCCTAAGATTACATTCCATGAGTACTCCTCTCAGGGAATACCCACATCTGCCAGTTGACTAATGCAACTGATGCTGGAGCCCCCAAAAAATGTCACAAATGCCATTAATCACTACTGCCAGTGTTTTATGAGCACTGTATTTAAAAAAAACCCAACCTAACCAAACAAACCAAACAAAGGGTCCTCAAAAATTCTACGGTATTTTAGACTGCATCATTAAAAAAGTCAGGAAACAAAACTGAAAGGAATGACCAGGAACATTTAAATTGCAGAAGCCATGTTTGCAAAAAGTCCAAACACCACTAAGAGTCAAACTTCTGTAATAACTAACCTGACTATTAGACTATAAAAAAATAAAGACATTGGATCCCCTTATGTAATGGAAGCACCTACATGCAGCTTTGCAATGCACTGGGGGTTTTTTATCACACTGATGAAGTATTTGCCTAGAAGAGCAGAGCCAGGGTTCTGCTGAAGCAGATGCAATACTTCTGTGATGATGGACTACACCTTTGAATAAACCAGGTCCTCCTCTTTAATGGCTCAGTTCAGGTGAAACTGCTAAAGCTGTGCTTAAGGAAGTCCATTGGGAATGCACTCTGGAAAATGTATATGCAGGGAACTGTAGTCACACAGAGCAGGAAGTCTGGATTTGTCAGAAGTTTATACACACCATCCAGCTACAAGGATTCTATAGGGATATTTAAAGCCATTGTTCTCTTGATGCTGTTTATGATTATGAAATATTCACAGCCCATGTTTTTTGAAATAATGTTTTATATCACCCTAAACCAGTACCAGAAGCAGAATAAATCATTACTGTACATAAAAAGAATTTATCTCTCTCCTATTACAAATACAACAAATTACAAAAACTGAGATGCCAGTAACAAAACACACATTAATAAGCAAGCAGAATTCCTGTTGACTGACCCCATGCACTGGCAGAAAACATCCAGCCTCTCGGATCAGTATCGGGAACATTCACTCTTATCTGTATTAAAGCCTTGCACAAAGAACGAGGAGACAGCAGCATAAAATAATTGTTCATTTCATCACAACTCCAAAGTTTCATTTTAAACTTTGATGACTGCGGCAGGTGGAGGAAAAATAATTTTCCTCATACAAGGTAACGAGCCTTCTCTCAAAGCAACAAGTTCCTTCGCATTAAAATTTTCTCTTCCCAAATGCTATTCTGACCTCAGAAAAGATTCTGAGTTAGGTTAAACTATTTACTTTCCACTCAGAACTATCATTTCTCTTGCTTCCAAAATGAACATTAAATTACCTACAGAAAGGAATTAAAGCCTGAGAGAGCGTGGTGGAGTTTTAGTGGCTTGACAAACTTCTTCGATGGCTTCAAACTTGGCCACATCTTAAGGATGTGCTAAGAGGCACATTGGCCCTGACACAAAGGCTGTCCTTTCCCAGCCAGATTTCAAGGTTCTGTTTTAACCCATGGCAAAAATGACAGAAAAGATGGCTCCTTTTTTTGATGTTGTGAAATGATGCTTTCTCCCTTTGCCTTGTTCTTAAGAACTGTTGTGAGAGCTTAAATGAAAACTAAAATGGAAATAAGATCAGCCAGTGGCCCGCATCTGCCAGGGATAAATTTCAACCACACATAAATAGCCAAGTTAGAGGTGCTGAAGATGTGTTCTGCCAGGAAAATAAATGAGACTTCTTATGTAAAGCTAGTGCCACCACACCTTCCACAGTATCAGAAACGTCACAGACAGAGGAAATGGGGAAGGGGAAACATATACAAAGGGTGGGTAGTGCTCTGTTACAGCAGGTGTGAAAAATGCCCTGCATACAGTAGGGTTATTAACAAGACAAAAGTGTTCCGAAGTCTCTATGAACAGTAGGTGTGGAGTTTGGTTTGGTTCGATTCCTATAAATTGGTAAAGAAAATATGCTTTTAATATCCATTCAATTCCACCAGCAAATACCTGTGGACCAGTTCACCATCTCTTACCTGTATTCCCATCCCCACTCTCCATCGATGTTTTACTGGTTTCTGACGGATTGTTCATTCTTGAGTCTGCATTAAAACAGAGATAAAGATAAACTAATATAGTGACGAAAAGTAAAAAAAGAAGAATAATCTACTCATACCTTTATGTCCAAGGAAGTACAGAACATCAGAAATGTTATATGTACTTTACCCTAATTCAGATTATAACACAAAAAGAACGATCAGAAGCAGAATACAATATTGAATCTTCAAAATTTAGTACGTCATTATTCCCACATGTGAAAACGTGGTGTTAAAGGAATAAATGACAGCATGCTAGAGGGCAAAGATAGGTAGAAACCTAATTTTCAATACAATGAAAGTCATAGAAGCAAAAAGGGGGGAGGGTGGAAAAAAAAGGAAGGAACAATGACTATATCAAGATTCAAAAACATTAAGTCTGACCACCATGGCCTGCATTATTCTTGTGTTGTCCCTGTCTTTCCTTCCCCCTTCTCCCCAGCTAGGAGAGAAAGGAAATCCAGTCATTTTAATTAAATAGATGCCATTTCTCTAATACTGCATTTTCATTTTACAGGAATG